AGCAATAATAACCAGAACACAAAATTAGGCTCCCTCTGCATGTCCCCATGGTCTCTTGTTTCCTCTCTTTCCATGTCAGCATCATTGTTCTCTCCGTGTAGATGCCTGTCCTTTGTGCCCATAAGCCAATGTGGTCATCCTAAGCCTTGCTTTACATCACTCCTTCATTCGAACACTCAAGATGCCAGGTCATCGTTACAAACACGGAGAGGTGAGACCTCACTGTCACCACACACGGTTACAGTGTTTGCAGCATCCCAGCTCCCTGGGTGACCTGTGTGGATTTGTGTGTGCATTTCCTCTACGCCGACGCCCTCTCGGGCTGCTTTTATTTTCCTAGCGCTCACCCCTCTTTGAGATTACGTACTTTTCTTGTTTTCATGTGTATTATCCTCTCACTTGCTGAAACGTAAGCTCCAAGAGGTCAGGATCTCCATCAACATTATCAGCTATTGTGTCCTAGGCAACTAAAACTTAGTGCCTACAACAGAGTAGATATTCAGGAATAATCATGCAGCTTGTAAACACCCAGAGATTTTCACATGTACGAGATAAAAGTCACGACAGTTCGCCTTCCAGCCCTGCAGGGTGAGCGTGGTAAAAGCTGAGGCAGCGGCTGGTGGCAAGTGACCCATTCTGGTCTGGCTTCTTCATGACTGTCCTTGGGGCACACGCTGGATTCCCAGTAAACCTGTCAAGTTTCCTGTGACTCTGCAGTGATATTTTGTCCTAGGCTTATTTTCCTTTTTGTTTGCTAGTATTGGAGATGCTACATTTAAAAAAATACGACTTTTAAAAGTTATCCAAACACTTAGCTCACTTTCCATCTCTCATGAGTCAGTGATCCACCTGGCTGGTCTCTCATCTCTTCCTGGTAGCTGTTGACAGCTAGGAGTCCAGGACAGGCAGGGGGCTAGTTGTGGAACAACCCTACATTCAGGCCTCTCTGTCTTTCCAAAGGAGGGTCTGGTGGGTGCTCAGATGTGAGAACTACGGACACCACTGGGGCCTTCTTTGATTCAGGAATAGGAACTCCCATATACTGTTGCAGAAAGAAAGTAGTGTAAGGCTTAAGGAAGAAAAAATTGACCTCAGAGAGACAAACGCGCAAATACAAAAAGACAAATGCACATTGCTGCAATACTTTTAATAGCAAAGGATTGGAAACAACCCAAATGTCAATCAGGGGTGACTGGTTGAATAAACAATGGTATTATGACCTCATAATGGAGCGTTTAATAGGAAAACATTCTATCCGGTTCTATGAAATGATATTCAATACATTGTTACAGGAAAAAAAGCAAGACCAAGGAAAGTGTATATATATGTGTGTGTGTGTGTGTGTGTGTGTGTGTATGCATATATATACATATATATGTGTGTGTATATATATGCATATATATATATACACACACACACATGTTTAGTGGAAGGGTGAAATGGAAAAAAATTTATCTAAGGCAGGAGGAGGAAACAGGTGGAGGGGACTGGGTCAGAATAAAGATCTCTCTGAATGTAGCTCATTTCGTGGAGTTGACTTTGGAGCCATGTAAATAGTTTACATAATTATAAAAAAATTGAAGTGAAAAAACCAATCTCTAAAAATTTAAGCAAAATAAAGTGAATAACCATAACCCTGATTCAAGTTTGGAACATAACCACTATTCCAAGTTATTTTAAAATGGTAATTTGACTGAACATTCCTAATGGCAAAAACCCGAAGGACAAAAAGAATTGCAAAAGAAAATTTTAACTGTTTTCAGTAATTATATTTTATGATAGTTTGGGCATGGTTATTCTCAGGATTGAAAACAATATGTAATTATTTTGGTAATCTTGAGAAAGAGGTTTTTAGAACAAGTAAAGAGCAGATGTAAAATCAGTAAGGTTACATTTAAAACCCTGTAGTCCTGAGTTGAATTGGAAGTACCATTATAAATGCATGTAGTTAAAAAAAACACCCCAAAACTCATAGTACATATTTCCTAGTTCTGTCCACTAACACCAAGAAACAGTGACCAAACCACTACCAATGAGCACTCTTAGCACCCAGATTTTGGTCTCTAATTATTATTCCCCACTAAGAGGAACCAGGGATCCTCGGGAATCACTGGGTAACTTCAGGGCTGGGTCATAAAATACACAAGATGAGCTTGAAACATCTTGTCATACAAGATAATTACGAAATATCAAAGACCACTAGGGTCATGTCTAAAGGAATCAGCCAACTTAACGCAGTTCCCAAGAGCCAAAGATAGGATAATTTGAGTAACGGTAAAAGATAACAACTGCAATGCATTGAAACACACATGAAATATGTTTAAATCATGAGTTCATTATGTACTCAAAGAAAAGAAAACAGCTCTCACTGGACAGCTTGGAAAGATTCCAGAAAACTACCTTGGAAACTGAGGAAGGGGAAAAAGTCAAGAATTTATGCTCTTCCTCTACAAACCAATCCTCAGGGTAACCAAAAGAATAACTGATAGAAGTAAGTTTCTCTTTATAAAGTGTGCCGGCTAACAAACAAAGAAACAACAGCACTAGAATATCATTTGCAACCCCTAAAGAAGTTACGGGTCTAGCAATAATCATGAATGGCTGCTACCATCAGAAGAGAGGCAACTAGAGATTATATGGCTCCCACCAGAAGTACCAGAAGACTCTGACTAACTCTCTCCATACAACTACTAATGTATAAGAAATAGGACAGAGGAACATGTGAAAAGACACTGCAGAGATGTACCTGGGAAGACCCAGGCTGTGAGAAATTCTACAGGACACACCATCCAGTACTGATTTCTAACAGGCCTCCAGGTGATTCCAGTATGTGCTAATGGCTGAAAGCCGATGCTACATTTAAAGGAGACTCAAGAGGCATGTCCATGAATTACAGAGCATGGACCTAACTCAAACAAAAACTCCTGAGCCACTCAGAAGTTTGAACAATGACTGAATAGTTGAAGGTATTAAGGAATTATTGCTAATTTTTTAAGTGTGATTGGTATGGAGGTTAAGCTTTTTCAAAAGTCCTTGTGTTGAAATATTTACTGATGAGATGATATGATGTCCAGGATCTGCTTCAGAATCATCATGGGGGAGGGTGAGAGAAGAGGTGGGGGAAGGTTGGCTGTGTGTTAATTGTTGAGGCTGGTGGTTTGGACGTGGGGTTCACCATGCTGTTCTACTTCCGTACATGTTTGCAACTATGCATGACAACAAGTTTTACAAGCCCCCTGCCAATGATAGGAAGCTCTCTTACCTGAAAGGGGTGCAACTCCTAGCTAGGAGAGAGTGCAGAGATAAGGTATTGCCCAGGGAGGAAGGGCCCAGGCATCATCCACAAGAGGGGGTCACAAGCCGCCAGGCATTCATATATTGGTGCTGCGGGGATGGGGCTGGATGTGGGATTTCATAAATGGGAAGCAGCTTTGATGATGGCAGGTCTGGGTGATGTAAACCACTGGCTTAGGCTGGGCCTGTGTGGCACCCCAGTCATCATCATACACCAGTCTAGGTGGGACACGTACGTACTCTGTAGCTCCCCAAGTCACTCCTCGCCTGCTGGGAGGTGAGAGGCTTGCCCCTTGGAACCAGTCCTGCTCCCAGCAGGAAGGAGGAATGCATCACTATGACACTGTACTTTCAGGGTCATGGCCATGCCCTTGGACTGCCCTCCCTGGCATTCTGCACAGGGGACTGGATGGCACGCAGGCTTCTAACCCAAGTCACACCACCATTTGAAAATGCAAGGCTGTGGCTAATAGTTTGAATACAATCTTGTAACAACCCACTAGGGCAGATTTGCAGACCCTCGTTCTGTTGTTGGAGAGACTGCCGCTGAGCCAGCGGAGAAGAAACATGTCAAAACCAGCTCTTGACTGTGTCTCACTCTTTGACAAAATAAGACAAGAATAGGTTTTTCCTAGAAACCATCTCGGTATATGGCTTGATCACTGAACGGGCAACACACTTCTCCTGGCCCCATCTCAAACCAAGGCAAATACGAGGAATTTAAAAGTAAAATGTCTGATGAAATCGCACCTAAATTAGCATGTATTTGGATACTGAAGTCTCCTCCCAGTTCAGCTGGCTCTTAAGTTTTAACGTGAACAGTCTCCAGCACCCCACCCCATGCCCCAGCCAGTGCTTGCCTTCTTCAGTCACCGGGAGGGCACTGCCCCTTGGCTCCTACATCAGGAGTAGGAGGCCCTGGAATCAATGAAAATTCAAGCATTTTCTTAAGCTCGCCACAGCCAGATGTGGCCTTACCAATCTCCCATTTGGCCAAGCCAACTTTCTATTGGTGGCACAATCCCAAGGTCACCTCCATGGTTTCTTTCTTGTGCATTTAACCCAGTGGGTCCAGCCTTGATTGGAAGAGAGCCAGGTATCCCTTCCTAGAAGGCACTGGGCTAACTCATGTGCAGGTACAGGCCAGGTGGGCGTGGAGGAGCAACACACTTTATTTCTTCAGTTTCGAGACCAGGTTATGTTCTGAGATACGATTTCTCAAAGGGGAATTCATTCAGGCAGAACTTAGGCTTTAATGTTGGTTCCTTGGTCTAGAAGAATCTGTGTGGGGGTTCCAGGCCCTGCCGTGCCTTTCTGATGAGAAGGCTGGCAGGCATGTCACAGAAGGGAATGCACACAAGAACACGGTGACAGGCTGTGGCAGGAGACCCACTCCCTATGCCACATGAGCAGGGCATGATTGGCCCTCAGCATGCTAGACGCTTCATAACAAGGCTTGACTATAACCATACAGAGGACTGACAATAAGCTTTTCCCTCCCCGGCTAGTTCACACTCACAATGCCATTCAGTCAGCATTTTGAAAAACTGCCCATTTCCCTGTAAAGACTTGAGAAAGTGCATAATCTACGGGAAGAGCTTAAAGCAGGGAAAAAAACCAAAAAACAACATGATGGCAACATGTTGGCATCTGTCTGGGTGGCAGTCTGGGTCCTGTAGCTGCCCTTCTCTGCCACCCCCCAGAAGAGTGTGCAGCATTGCCCTAGAAACCTGGGGGCGCGGGCAGGCGGGCGGGTGGGCAAGGACAAGGCAGGCTGGGGAGAGAGAACTGTCACAGTCAGGGCCCACAGCCAGATCTCCGAGGAAGCTAAATGAGCCCAGATCTCCTCAGCGCAGGTAACCCCGCCCCCTGGCTGCCTTAGAAGTCATAAGGGGACACAAAGATGGTGACCTTGGACACGTGGTTGGCTTGGAAGGAGCGGTCCAGGTATTCCGACATGTCGACATCCACCTCTAGTGTCTGAGGCCCCTCCAGGGTCTGGACAAGGATCAGCTCCCCTGTCTGCCGGTCTGAGCGCTGCATCACAAAGTGGCCCCGGCTGTTCCCACCCACGATCCCAAAGCGCAGGCTGTTGGGTCCAGGTCGGCCGGGGGCTGAGGCTGTGGCCATGCGGAAGAGCGTGATGGGCGTCTTCAGGTTGGAGGGCAGGGAAAGGTAATGGAAGGAGATGGTCTTGGGCAAGTGGCGGCAGGGTCGGCTGTCCATGGGGCAGGGGTTTCGCTCACACTGGCTGGAACAGAGAGGCAAAAGTGGACGGAGTCAGCCTTGGGGAGACTCGCGAGGGGCTGCTCTGACCTGGCTTGTCTGCCCCACTGCCTTCCTGCAGAGGCCTCCAGAGTGCCCTTTCCCAGCCACCAGTCCCTCAGCACAGAGGCTCAGAGCTGCAGGTGAGGGTGGTGGATGGCAGGTGTGGCCAGGGAAGAGGTGCTCCCCTGACCCGCTTGTATATGTACGCACGTACACGTACATTTATACATGCTGTTACTAGAGTCTTTACAGACAAATAAAGCCAGGAAGATAAACCAGGTGCCCCTTCTGCCCGTGCCAGGACCTCTCTCTGTAATGATGGGACCCCAGCAGGTAGCTGGCAACACCCTGGAATGCGGTGCTCAACACGAGGTGAACTTTGCAACCACCCTGCATTTATTCTTAAAAAGGAAACCCTGTCTTTCTTAACCATTTGGAATCAGGATCTTGTGGAAGTGCTTCTGATATTTCTCTACCTTATCCAACACACAGATACAATTCAGCATATTTCATGACTCATATAATCACAGTTATGTAGGTTGAATATTGCATCTGGCTAATAATCAGGCATGTCCCCAGAGGCTATGACATACAGTCCCTTCACTGAGTGACTTCGGAGGAAGATCCTGGTGCCTTCGGTCTCAGTAAATAACCTCCCCTCTTGAGTGCCAGCTGACTTTATTGATGCTTCTATTCTGCTATAGCCCAAAAAAGCAATTCAGGTATATGAGCTTGAGAAGTTAATTCATTCTAAAGACAATGCTAAGATGCTTGTGATCTCTTTTTCAGAAGAAAGTACATGTGCTTTGTGATAGTTGTCGTTCTTCTCCTGAAAGGCCTGTCTCCCACCTTTTGAAAACAACAACAAACCATTACGTGCTGAGGTTACGGGAAATCAAACCTCCTAAACCAGTGGAAAGGCCTATCAATATAATGCAAAGTGTACGGGACATGCCCTGTGACTGGAACCGACCAGTTATTAGCCATGTGAACATGACAAAATGATCCTCTTCCAAATCTGTAATATGTACCTGCCTCCTGGTAACATCACCACGCACGAGCGTGACTATAATCCCATCATCCTCCAGGGCAGCAGGGGAACACTTGGAACATTAACTCCTTTCAGGGCAAACTGGGTTCCTACTGCACATAGCAGCAAGCAGTGAATTAAATGCGACCACCAAAGGGAAATGGAAGCTCAGAGAAGCCAAACTCCCAGCTCCCTGCCTTCCATTTTTCCTTGGATCTAACTGTATCTTCTCCTAAGAACCTCTGAATCTGGCCCAGCCCCCCTGGGAGGCCTGGGTGAGGGACGTAGGTGCCCGGCCTGGGTGCCCTGGCTATACTCACAATGGAGAGGTCTTCACATAGCTCACGTTGCCGCTGCCCTCGGGGCACTCCGGGCTGACGCACTGGAAGCCTCCACCGGTGTTGATGCACATGGTCCCCTGGGGACACACGAGTTGCGGGCTCACACACTCATCGACATCTGAAATAAGGGACACCCAGGAAGAGTGAAGATCACCTGATGTCCCTTCTGTCACAGGACCACATGAAGAACCCGGATAGGCGCTGGAATGTGGTGAGCTTTCTAAATACCCAGTACTTATTTTTCAAACGGGAAACCCTGTCATCCTTCACTATTTGAAATCCAGACCTTGTGGAAGTGCTGCAGAACCATGCTGGGGAGCTGCCCTCCCACTGGGTAGACAGGTTACAGAGGTGCCAGAAGCACAGGAGTGTGACTGGTCCCAGGTCACAACGCTTCTCTGAGACCTGCCTCCTCCTCAGCCTAAGGGCCCTGGAGTCTCCCCTCAATGGCTATTTATCCGGCCCTTTAAGAGTCAAGTCTTCCAGAAAACCTTTCTCCTCAGCCTCACCCCAACCCAAATGCAGATGTCCTCACTCTCCTTTGTATGAAGTCTCTGCTGCTGCCTTCCCCCCAGCTGGAGGCTGTTTCTTCCCAATCTGCACAGTCCTACCTGGGCCTTCTTGAATACTTACGGGATGGAGGTGGGGGAGGAGGGGGGAGGGAAGGATGGTTGGTCGGAGGGATTGGTGGATGGATAGAGGGATGATGAACGGAGGGATGGAGGAAGGGAGGGATGGGAGCAGGGAGGGATGGATGGTTGGAGAGATGGATGGATGGATGGATGGAGGTATCTTCTTCTCCAGTCCCAGGTTACCCACTCCTCTGACCCTTGCAGCAGAGCTTAGGACGTCACTGGGGAGCCACATCTTCTCTCACATTCTACTTGAGCCCAAAGAAGAGCCCTCTGCCTTCTCCTCTGCTCCTTCTCCCCCAGTGGCTTGGAGCCGCTGTCTGGGACCAGCCAGGCTCTCTCGTGAGCCCTGCAGCTCCCTGCCTCTGTAGCAGTATCACTCACCCTCACAGCTCTTCCCATCAGCCAGCGTCCGGTACCCGCTGGGGCAGGCACAGCGGTAGGAACCTGGGGTGTTGATGCAGGTGTGCATGCAGAGCCGGGGGCGTCCCTCCTGCCCGTAGAGCTCACATTCATTCACATCTGGGGACAGAAGTGCCCAGTATGACCAGGAGCCATGTGGTGGACAGCCACTAGCCATGACCCAGGATGGCTGTGCCTCAGTTCCTGGAGGCGATGGCCACTATGGCTAAGTGGCTGGGGCTGGGGGGGGGGGGGCAAACCCTATGCCCAGCAGAGCACCTGGAAGGAGAGCAAGCATGCTCTCCTTCCTCCCCAGCCAAGGGCCCAGGGGGCTGAGGGGAGGGATGAGAGCATCCTACATGATAGACCCTAGATAGGTTCCTTTGTCTGAGGCTGAAGACTAACGGGGGACCCTGCAGGGGCTGGCAGATCAGGCGGGCAGTCGAGACTACGGCCTGGATCCCAGCCCCACCTGAACTGGCCTCATCTTTGGGGTTGGAGGAAGAGGGTCTCATTTCAGCTGCTGTAAAATGAGGCAGTTTGCACCAACTGGCCAATTCCCCGGTTTGGGCCCGCTTGGTTTGAGTCGTTCTCAGAAGGCACTTTGGTAATCAGGAGAGGTTAGCTAAAGTTGGCTGGGTCCATAAACCCAAGCGGAGAGGGGGCGAGGAAATTGAGTCCCCGAGCCCTGCACAGCGCAGGAGGCCTTCCTAACCAGCCCAAGGACTCGAGCTCCTCTCTGCCACCGGTCCCTGATTGCAGCTGGAATTGGGGGCGGGTGGCTCGCGGTTCTTCTAGATGGGTGTGCTGCTTTGCATGTCACCGTGGCTGGCTTCTGAGATGGGGGCCAGCCTGGGCACCCCTGGCTGCTCTTGCCACAATCTTGATTTCTTATGATCGCCTCTGATGTCTACGTCTCAGGCCCCATTAGGTCGACACTTACCTAAAACGCAAAGTGGGCCGGGCTTTCTGAGACTTTGCCCGCTCCCCGCCCCCTTGCTGGTGCGCCCGCAGCAGGAGGGCGGCGGGTGGGAGCCCTGTCTTCTCCTGGGCACCGCCCCCCGCCTCCCGCTCCCTTCTCCCCCTACAGAGCCCCCGCCTACCCTGGCAGACGCTGTCGCCCGCGGCGCTGCCGCTCAGGTGGAATCCCGCCTCGCAGCTGCAGTGCTGCGTCCGCTCCACCTGCGCACAGCGCGGCGCGCGGCTGAAGGCGGGGTCGCCGGCCACGCTGCCGTCGGGGGCCGCTGCGGGGAGAAGACACCCTCAGGGCCGGGCCCTGGCGCCCCTGGCGCCCAACCTTGGGCAGGGGCCGGAAGGAGAACCAGGACGGGGGCGCGGCCCCTTCTCAGAGCTCACTCTGGAGTAGGGAAAGGAAAGACGAGTAAGTAAGCAGAAACCCGCAGCCGCCCAGGAAGGGCTCGGGGAGTGCAGCCGAAAGGCACCTTGCAGGAAACCGAGGACCTTGCGACAGGCACACAGAAGGACGGCATCAAAAGGCTTAACAAACACCAAAAGGCTAACAGTGATCCCTGGAGTTTAAATCTATGGGATTTAAAACACTGCTTTTTTGGGGGGGGGGGGGACAGTCTTTTGTGTTGTGGTTTTTTTTTTTAAAGATTTTATTTATTTGAGAGAGAGAGCACGACTGGGGGTGGGATGGGTAGAGGAGAGGGAGAGGCAGGCTCCCCGCTGAGCAGGGTGCCCCTTGCAGGGCTGAATCCCCGGATCCTGAGATCATGAGCTAAGCTGAAGGTAAACGCTTAACCGATGTCCGTGTTGTTGTAATTTTATACTTTTCTAAATTATCGGAGCTTTTTGTTTTAAAACCAGGAACATCAATTTTTTCTTTTTTTCTTTTCTTTAAGATTTTATTTATTTATTTGACAGAGAGCACGAACAGGGGGAGGGGTAGAGGGACAAGCCGACTCCCCTCTGAGCTGGGAGCTGGATGCGCAGCTGGAACCCAGGACCCTAAGATCATGATCTGAGCTGAAGTCAGAAGGGTAACGGACTGAGCCACCCAGGTGCCCCAGGAACATCAATTTTCTAATCAGAAAAAAAAAATAATTAGTTTTTGAACATTTTCAAAGGATTTAGCGTTCTCATATGGTTAGGGGAGATGGTAGAGGAATCATCGGTGGTGAAAGTAATGATGCATAAGAGGACACCCAAGGAGACGCAGTGTGTGACTCCACGGAGGTGAGGTTCTTAGGGTAGTCAAATTCGTAGAGCAGAAGGCAGAATGGTTGTGGCGGGAGGCTGGGAGAGGAGGAAATGGGGAATTACTGTTTCAAGGGCAGAGTTTCAGTTTTGCAAGGTGAAAACATGGAGGTGGATGGTTGCACAACAGTGTAAATGTACTTAATGCCTCTGGCCCATACATTTAAAATGGTTAAAATGGTAAATTTTATGTTATGTATATTCTATTATAATAGGGGAAAGAAAAGGTGAATGGATTAAAAAAAAAAGTATTTGGAGAGAGGCTCCCCCTCAGAGCAGACACAGGCAGAGCAGATGGGAAGGAAGGCTCCAGGCTGGGGGACCAGGTGAGCAAGAAGCCAGGCCTTTGCTGGGCTGTTCAAGGAGACCACCTTCAGATGCACCTGCTCACTCCCTCTTCCCCCTCCCTGGGGAGATTCTTGTCATGGGGATACTTTATGTATAAAGTGCCCCCTGGACCTGAGAAACAGCTGCCTAAGGTCCTGACAGCAGAAACCCTAACATGGAGGGTTTAGAACATTCAGGGTCCAGTACCAGCTCGTTCGGGTTGAAAGAGGGCCCACTTCTTGTTCCTTTCTGTTTGTAAGTAGTTGGAGAGAAGGCCCTGCCTCTGGTTTCTGGTTCCCCAGAGAGCAGCCCCCCCCGGGGGGGGGGCGGTGGGAGAGGAGCTGGGCTCCTGGGGTGGGCAGCTGCATTCTGAGAAAGCTCCCAGCAAGGCTGACTCAGTGAATGGAACCAAGACAATTAAGCAGCAGATCTCTGGGGGCAGGATTGAAAACTGGCCTTGGATTGCATCTGATGCAAAAATATCAAGTACTGACAAAGGTCCTACTCTCTGGATACTATTGTTAACCACCAATTCCTCTTCCCCATACCCAGATTCCACATAGAAATCCAGACAACCAGGCAGGACACTCCAGGGACTTCTGGCAAAGAGGACATCTTTAGGATTTGACTTTTTTATATAGGAAATGTTGGTTACAGCATAGTGTGGGAACCTTCATAGATTCCTTATTGGATTGTCTTGCCCTCTGTGAAAACAGCCACTTTCTGCCCTCTAGACCTTCTGGCTAGGGATATACTGGGACTCAAGATGGGGAGAATAAGCTCAGCACAAGGGGCGCCTGGGTGGCTCAGTCGGTTAACGGTCTACCTTCAGCTCAGGTCACGATCCCAGGGTCCTAGGATCAAGCCCCGCATCGGGCTCTCCCTCTCCCTCTGCCCGCTCATGCTTTCTCTCTCTCAAATAAATAATAAAAATAAAATCTGTTTTTAAAAAAATAGCTCCCCACCTGTCAGATGTCTCGTTGCCCAGCTTTGAGGGTACTTTGGCCTGTATCAGTAACTACTGACTTGGCAGGGTATGATGGGGGCATTGGAAAGGAAGAGCCATTCTGTTGAACCGCAGAGAAAATGCGGACCAAGTGAAGGTGGAGCAAGGAAGCTTCTCGGGCCAAATTCCCAGTCTGGGGAGCTTTTCACACTGGGGTCAGTCCCTCTACCTGCATTTTCTTCCATAAAAAGGATCAAAATGCTGGTTACACAGAAGGGCTAAATTCCATCCCAGATAACCAGAGGGATCAAGGGTGAAAAGCCCTCTCTCCAGGTGGGGAGCTGAGCTCCTGCCGCGTCTGCATTTGGTGACCCATGGCCAGGGGGCTCCTCTCCCTGCGGTGGAGCCTCACCCAGCCCCTCAGCAGCCCCGTACCTGTCTGGGCCTGGTGCTGACAGCGGCTGCCAGTCCTCCCCGGAGGACAGACGCACTTGTACTGGGTGACGCCTTCTACACAGGTCCCCCCATTCTGACAAGGCTGGCTGGAGCATTCGCTGATGTCTAGGAAAAGAAAGCATTTTCAAAAACAGATAGGGGAGTTCGAATTCTAAAATGAACCTTTCTTTACGCGGCAGGACAACTTCACCTTCTCCTCGCCCACTCTGCCCTCGCCACTGCCCCAAGCCGCAGGAGCTGAGAGGGGGCTGAGGGCGCTGAGCTGCAGCCCACCCACCATTCGGCAAGCCATGGGGCCTTTGGCACACACCGCACTCTCACGGGGAGCTCTGCCTACAGGAGCTGGTCCGTCACCCAGTCATGCTCCAGCAGAGGCACCATTCCCTAATTTACAGGGTAGACTCCCCCATGTGCCCACCTGCCTTTGAGTCAAGCCAGACTGTCCCCCGCAACTCTGCCCTTAGCAGCCAGCACCCGGGAAGAACACCTTTTTTTTTTTTTTTTTTAAGATTTTATGTATTTATTTACAGCACAAGCAGGGGGAGGGGCAGAGGGAGAAAGAGAGAGAGAATCCCAAGTAGACTCCACGCCCAGCACAGAGCCCAATGTGGGGCTCAGTCCCACTACCCTAAGATCATGACCTGAGCTGAAATCAAGAGTTGGACGCTGAACTCACTGAGCCACCCAGGCACTCCAGGAAGAACACCTTTTGACTAAGAACCCAATTCAGGGGAGTTTTAAGAGGGAGAGATGGTCCGTCACAGTTTCCAGAGAAGGGGAAAACGAAGTCTCTCCAAGTTCCCACCCAGTAGCTCTCCTGTGCTCATTTCCGGTGCACCCAAGGAAGATTTTCTTTTGATTCTCAGACATTTCCTAAACGGTGGAAAGGGAAATATTCCTTGCTCATATACATAGCAGTCCTGTGAGAAAGCTATATATAGAAAGAGATTATATATTTAAAAATTAAATAGGTTTCTCTCTGTGTGGTAGGATTCCAGGCAATTTTTATTTACACTTTTTTGTACTCTTCCACAGAATGATGAACTATTCCACAATAAATTTTCTAATTAGAAAAAAAAATTTTTTTAAACCCTCAGGCCACATCTGCTTGTTATGAATCCTTAAGCCCGGTCTTTTTTTTTTAAGCCCAGTCTTAAGGCACAGAGCACAGGCCCTTTCTATCCAAGAGAGAAGTCTGTCAGTTCACTGACTTGACCACAGCATCTTGGGAAAGGAAACTGGAAGTCTCTCCTTGCTGGCATGCGACCATCCTTTCCTGCTGTATCTGTCCAGAGAAAGAAAGGTGCTTTGCCCCTGATGAGAATAGCAGCCTTGCTGTGGGTGGATTGGCAGGGTCCTCGGCGTCGCTTCTGCCTCCTCGTCGCTGGGATGTTATATAGACTGTTGGATGGTTTCTGTTAGTCATGAAAGGACCCAGAACCGTCCAAAGGCTGCTTATCCCTGGGGAAGGAGCCTTTTCAGCTTCTCAGTAACAGCCTGGTTGTGCTCTACCCATCCGTTCTGTTCTCAGACGACCGGTTTCCAGGAATGTGTCTGGAATGACACCGTACCCAAATGCCACAGAGCGTGGAATTCCCGTTTCTGCCCATTGTCTGCCCCAACATCACTCACCAGCAGAGTCAGAGAGTGGGCAGACCATGAGGCCGTGATGTGCTGGGCAGAGAGCCAAAGAGGGTGAACACCAGTAGCTTTCAGTCTGGCCCCAGTGGGAACAGCACCGTTGTCTCTCCCCTCTGGGCCTCCAGTGGAAGGGACTGGGCCTGGCTGCACCTGGGTAGGGGGTGGGGGGGTGTCACTGGCTCAACAGAGAAATGCACAGGTGCCCCAGGACCCTGGGCTCTGTCTCCCCGTCTGGACCTTGTTGCCCAGGATTTTCATTTCTAGACAGGCTCCCCCACAGACTCTTTCTTATCTTGGTGAATGGTTAGAGGCATTCCATGGCCCAACGCCCAGTCCTGGCTCCCCATCTGTGCCCTGATTGAAGTCCAGTTGTCCTCACCTTCACATCTGTCCCAGGCTGTGGCATTTAGTTAAGGGCAGGGTGACTTCAGAGCTGTAAAGAGGGCAGAAGCTGAGGAGAGGCTGCCGAACCAAAAGCATGGCTGATAATTCTGTTTTAATCTACTGTTTAGTGAGCACTTACTATTTCCCTGGAGCTGAGCTGCATGTTTTACACGCACGATCTGCTTTTCTTCCCTTTTATTTCGAATCCTTTCCTGTGTTCTGTCATCTTGTTTCAGATTTTCCATTTCTCCAATCACCTCATTGCTGAGGCTTTCTAATTTTTATTTATGCTGTCCTTTCATAGTTTTTATCTTTTTCTAATTTCTTTCTGCTTGTTTGGAAATATTAGGTAATAGTCTTCATCTGTTTCCTGGCCATGTCCTTCTGGCATTTCCTCATTGTGCATAGAGACTTTTTATTCTCTTTTTTTCCTTATAATAGTTTGCATGGGATTGGACAAAAGTCCTTTTCTGTTCCCCCTATTTAGGGGAAACAAGTTTTCCTAGGTGGCTGGTCCGGCTTCCCGACCGTCTGCCTGGCCCTTCCGTGGCTATTTTTAGTGTGGTTCCGAATCTCTCCGCTCTGCCCCTTTTGCGCTCCTCTCCTGCTTTCCCCTGGGCCACCTCTTTCACTTGCACCGACTTCCTTCCTTCGTTGGGCTCCATTTGGATCCTCCTCCCCTTAGAATCTCCTCAATACTGGGCTTTGTCCTGGAAAGTCTGGAGAGTTCCTCGGGGCCAGCAGCGCGCTCCAGCAACTGAGACTTCCTGTTGAAAAGCTGCGGCCCGCCCTTGCGAAAGCTGGCCCACTGTAAGCCGGGACTGGAGCAGATCCTAATAAGATTATTAGATTTCAAAGAAAAAGAAAAAAAATTCTTTGGGCATCCAGGCAAGAAGACCAACATACTGATGATGGCAACAGCAGAATCAGCCGCAACAGAAGACATGGAGGCATATTTAACGTACTCAGGGAAAGAAGATGTGAGGCAGATAGTTGGTGTCCAACCAAACTGGCGTCCAGTGGGGCAGTGACCCACTTTCTGAAAGGGCAAGAACTTGGGGGAATTGCTCCCAGTCCCTCTGGAGGAATAGGCTGGAGAGATGTCTGCATGGGGACAGCAGTGAGGCTCCCCAGGGCACAAGCCCGCACAAGGAGGGCTTCCTGCACAAGGAGGGCTTCCCGGCAGCAGTGTCTACCGCTGTCTGGCCCAAACAAAACAAAAATCTCCCTTGGATCTGATCAAGCCCCCGGAGTTAGGTACCAGTTTATAAGAAATTCAGAGACCAAGAAGGTCCAAACTTCCAGTTATAAAGTACTGGGGACATGGTGTGCAGCTTGGGGACTGTGGCTAACACTGCTGGGTTGGTAGATAGGGAAGTTGTTAAGAGAGTAGATCCTCAGAGTTCTCTTCACCAGGGAAAAACCATTTCTTTTCTTTTTGCTTGTCTGTATGAGAGGATGGGTGTGAACTAAACTTGGGGTGGTCATCATTTCATGATAAATGGAGGTCAGGTCATTAGGCTACACACTTTAAACTTAACACAGTGCTGGATGTCAGTTATATGTCAATAAAACTGGAACAAAAAGAAAGGAAGAGATCAGAAGTTCACACTAAATGACCCCTCAGGGATGCAGCTAGCAAAATCAAGGCTGTGGGAAACAAACCATTTTCTTCAATAAATAAACTGCAAGGGATTGGGGTGGGGTGATGGGCGGGAGGAGGAGGTGGAGGAGACTGTAGACTTTTATAAAAAGTCGTAAGAGACTGGCGCTTGTGTGGCTTAGTCGGTTAAGCCTCTGACTCGATTTTGGCTCAGGTCATGAGCCATGTGAGACAACTGGAGGGATTTTTACCCTGACTAGATATTTAAAGATAATAAGGAATTTGCTATATTTGAGTATGTGAGGATCGTTATACTATTCTACTTTTGTGCATTTGAAATTATCCATAGTGAACAGTGTTTTAAGATTGCTTGTCTTGGCCTTATTTATGATTATGAAAACCTGGACACAACAAAGGAATAGTTCAGTAAAATGTCGAATAGCCCTGGGGACACCTGGGTGGCTCAGTCAGTTGAGCGTCTGATTTCAGCTCAGGTCATGATCCCGCGGTCCTGGGATGGAGTCCGGCATTGGGCTCCCTGCTCAGCGGGAAGCCTGCTTCTCCCTCTCCCTCTGCCTGCCGCTTTCCCTGCTTGTGCTCTCTCTCTCTAATAAATAAAATCCTTTTTAGAAAAGTGTAGAATAGCCCTTAGGAGGACGTGCTTCGTAATCATTAAAGGTTATGTTTAGAAGGAAGTGCTAATGAAGATCGGCTTGTGTTAAAGATCTATACACAGATGATGCTGACTATGGAACACTTGCGTACATATGCCTAGATAGAAGTCTGGAAGGAAGTCCACAGTTTCTTAAACATAATGCCTCGTTCATTCATTCATTCGATCATTTGGTGAGTTAGCCAGCCAGTCACTGAGTAACTACTAAGAGGCTACTGTAGTGAAGGAAGCTCTTTCAACTCAAATCCTTTTTTCGAGGTTTCTGAGGAAAGGCCTCGAATGCAGCAGGTGAGCAAAGTGTGCTCTATTCTGCCTGCAAAATACCCTTCCAAGCCCTCCATCCAGAGTCAAAGCCCTGCTTTTCCAGTTCGCTGGGGCCCTGGCCTCCGCAGGCTCCCCCTATCTCCGGTGCCCTTCCTCCCCATCTGACCTCTCTGTGCCCTTTGGGTCTGGAGCCACTTCTTTTCTGTCTCTTCCCTCTCCTCACTGCTGCTCTTACCACTGTGTGTGGATTTCAGTCCTCTCATTAGGCTAGTAATTCCCAGGTGTGTATCTCCCACCCTCCCACTGTCCACCTGACTTCTCTGTTGGGAAAGCTAGTCTCAGGCCTGCGGTCGGTGGAACCCCATTTGGCCGAAGAAGAATGGGCCTTGGGCCTGGACTGCTTCCTTAACATGAGGTAAAGAGCCCACACCGCTTGTGCAGGGCTTACCACCTCCTGGGGGGTTTCCTCTTCCTGATTCATGCTCCATGAGCCATTCTTTTGTCCTGCTCCTAGAACCTCCAAGGCTGCACGGGCTGTCCTGTGTGTCTCCCCACTTCTCCTTGCTCACACTCAATGGCCCTCAGCTTTCAATCTTTCAGACTCCATGGGAAGGGGCTGGAGGGTCCCTCCCCTGCAGCACGAGAGGGGTGTTCCCCCCCCCCACCACCAGGAATTGCCCTGGGTCAGCTGCTGGCCACCCTAACCGGCCCCCACTACTGAGACCAATCTTGCTCTGTCTCTTCCCTATGTTGAGCCAAGTGTCCCATCCAGCGTCTGACCATGCTGTGTTTTCCTGGGTAACTCCAGGACGAAGATGCCGTGGGCAAAAGTGCCCGGAGCCCTTGCTGGGATGGGTAACATGGTGTTCTGCTCGGTGATCTCCGTGGGTGGAATGAATGGTTCTCCACTAGGATGTCGTACCGATGTTTAACTTAACGTGTCCAAAATGGAGTTCTGCTCAATGACCCCCACACAGGTTGCTTGAAAACAAACCTACACTCGTCGCTCAGTCTTCACTATCTCTATAAATGACACCATGTGCCCCAACGTTCAAGCGGAGTCGGGGAGCCCTGACTGTTCTTCCACGCACCCCCCTGGACTTCAGTAGCCCCCAAGTGGTTTCCCGGCTCCTTTCCTGCCCGCCCCCCCCAGTGCACTGTCCAGACAGCAGCAACACACAAGTCCAATTACCACGCCCCTCTCCGTACACCTGTTTATTGTGCTCCAACTACAGTCCCACCTCCCGCCCGGCCTCTGAGGCTGCACGGGCTGGCCTGTGTGCCTCCCCAGCTCTCCTTGCTCACGCTCAGCTCCACCTGCTCCAGCGGCAAGGCTCTGTCTATACTTTCTTTTTCCGTTTCCTCAAACATTTCAAGTTCTTCCCTTCCTTAGGGCCTCTTTGCACATGTTACTCCCTCTTCCTGGGATAGCATCTTTCCCCTGCCACCCACCCCACCCCACTCATCACGTGACCAGGCCCCGCTCACCCTTCCACATCTCTGCGTCCCCGTGACCACCTCGGAGAGGCCCTCCCGTGTTCCTGCCCCCCATCGTATAGATTCTCAGCCCCTGATTAGATCCCTTCAAGGCACTGACCACAAACCCCCATTTCTTTACCTTTCCATTTGCCTCTCTGTTTTACTTGTTTCCGTCTTAGCAGGTGAGCCCCACAAGGTTGGGCAGTGTCTCTTAGATTCAGCCTGAACCTCTAGCACCTGGCGCAATCTTTTGTGCATAGCTGGTGTTCAGTGAAAATTGGTTGAATGAATGACTAAAGGTTAAAAAAGGGGAGTGACTGCCAAAAACAATTCTTTTTTTCCCAGCATGAGAGTAAGGGAAAAAGTTATTTATTTCTCTCAAGTTTTTTTCTTTGGTTACCAATGTTGTCAAAGCAACAAGCCCTGTGGCAATGGTTCTCCTAAGGCAGAAAGCTTCAGATCTTAAAAACATGCCCTTCCAAGAAAGAAAGAAGAAAAGGGAAATAACCCAGGAAGCCAAAAGGCTGTTTTCCATTTTGGAGCTCTGGAGCCTACCTCTGCCCACAGGGCTTTTTAATGGCAGGATTATGTGTAATTTCCTTTTATGCCAAGTTGGGTTCATCACCCTCTTTGTGAACAGCTGCCTGGGGATGGGGTGAGGGGCAAGCATTGAAGAGCTGCTAAATCTTTCACTGTCACTGACATTTTGGGTCTTGAAACGGATTCCCTGTGATTAAGAAGATTCTTTTCCCTCTGTGGTCACAACACAATGACCACAAGACTGCAGATATGGAAAATGAATCAGATGCATGCATAGCTAAGATTCTAGGCCACTCTGAGGTGTGTGTGCGTGTGGAGGTCACTGGATTGTTGAACCCCAGCTCATGTCCTGCCCACACTGTTAACACTGTTACAAGAGGTCCCCAAACAGCAGATTGAAGCTCTCCTTCTCCCTCCTGACAAGCTTGGGTGGCATCCCTTTGAGGCTCTTACTGGAGACACAGCATCCATTAGTCAGATTCCTGCTGAGGACAGAAGTGTCCACGCAGGCACCATCCACGAACCTGGGGAGAGGTCACGTGCCCGTAGATGGTTGAGCCCCTGGGCTGTGATGTATCAGAGGTTTTTGGGTTTTTTTTTTTCCCCATCACCACCCCAGGGTGAACTCCCATGCCTCATTTACACTTAAAGAGATGACGCATATCCATCTGAGATCTCCCTGTGGACTGGCCACAGCCTTGTACCCTGAGCCAATCTTCCCTGGGGTTTAGATAGTGAATGTGGCCCCAGTAGATGTCCAGGGTGGGCTGCGCCAAGCAGTTAGGCAGCGGAGTCAGGGAAGAAGGACACATGGCCAGGAAGGAGGCTGAGGAGGAGGGGAGACAAAGAACACACCGCAAATCTGGAATGAGGTGCTAAGTTCAAGGGCGAGAGTCAGGAAGTACCCCACGCTGGACAATGAGGAAGGCCAGGAGACTTGCTGGCCATACTTGGCGTTGGTCCTCCAGGAAAAGTCTGCTCTCCACATCTTAGGAAAGGAGACTGCTCAGTGGGGCTGGGTGCCCTGATCTTTGTAAAGGGCTAGCCTGGCCTTCCCAAAATGTCCCTGCAGGTGGAGGTGAGCATGTGCAGTAAGTCTCACCTGGCCAGGGTGGACACACACTCAGGACATGGCCCTACTGCTGGCTCGCTGCAGGCAGCATTCTGATTGGTGAGGGCCCAAAGTGCATCAGTGCTTCAAAATTCTCAATATCTTCTCCTTCTGGCAGTGGCAAGAACCAGCAGAGTGGTGTTTCTCAAGATTTAGTTAATGTCAGAATCACATTGAAAATGTAGATTGCCAAAGTCTCACCTATAAAGATCTCACCCAACACAATAGGTCTTTTGAGGCCTCAGAGCCTTCCTCTCACAAGCTTTCTCGGTGACTCTGGAGCACCTGAAAGTTTGAGAACCACGGCACACAAAGCATGATAGGGTAGGACCCTCTTTTCCACCGAGGGGGTCCTGTGGCAGGGAGGCAAGGTGCTGATATATACCTAATGCATGCAGGTTCAAGAGGGAAGCTGGCAGATGTGCCCAGGATCCTCTGGGGAGGCGTCCTACTCAGCTGCTAAGATGGAGCTGGAGCATTTTGGGTTCCTACCCTTGTCGAGCCCCTCTGCGTTCCTTTGGTCAAGCCATTCCTTGTGACTATGTTCCTGAGCCTCTGATGTTTCTTACTTGTTTGCCTAAAAATGCATCCTTTCAGTTAGCTCCTCTGATGAACTCATCTTTTCACTGAAACCACATCGTGCTCACTGTAAATGCATATCACTACTGAGGACAGACTACACGGACAATACCCGAGCAAGACAGAAAACAGCACATGAGCAAAACGTATTTCTGTGCACAGCCCTGCTGGGGGAGTGGGCTGGGGCAGCCTGTCTGAAGAGCAGCCTGCCATGCTTGGTTCAAAGGAAGTGGGCATGTGGCTAGCTGCCCCTAACTCCAAACCCAGAGAGACAGTCCCGGAGACAAAGAGGGGAGATAGAAGACCTTGCCAGTGCCATTTATGGTGGTGGGGAGTTGACTGCCATCTGGGGGGCCATGATCCGGGGCGTGGCCCGGTAAGCTGCAGGGGGTACCCCATAGAGGATGATGCGGCCATCGGAGCACCCCAGTGCTGTGAGAAAGAAATCAAGTGGGGTCCGTAACTCAATCTGTAAGTTAAAAATTTAGACATCCAAAGCAATGACCATGAGATGCCATTGTGTTCCCACCTCTGCTGCCATAGTTTGTCACCTATAAGGTGCTTACCATGGTTGGAGATTTTTCCGGGTCAAGGGTAAATCCAGATACGGGCATTTCCCCTGGCATGCTTGCCGCTTACATGGCTTGTATTTCTTGGCTGGTTCCCAGCTAGGTCTGAGAGCTGGTACTTGCAATCAACCTTCAAACCATTGTTTTTCCCAGGAGATGGGAAATAGAAGTCTAAATCCATGAATGTGGTTCTGGCTGCCGGGTCTCCACATGTCAATCCACACAATCTCTCTTTAGAGATGACATATTTTCTTTTTTTTATTAGAGAGAGAGGAGGGGAGAGCGGCAGAGGGAGAGAATCTTAAGCAGGCTCCATGCTCAGTGTGGAGCCCAGTGCAGGGCTTGATCTCACAACCTCGAGATCATGACCTGAGCCGAAATCAAGAGTCGGACACTTAACTGACTGAGCCACCCAGGCACCCCAAGATGATATATTTTCTAATGTTCTGTTATGTTTTCAAGTTCTTTATGCATTCAAGTCCTCTCCACATTGCTCCTGACAACATACTTACTTAGGTAACACTTGCATTTCCCTTTCAACTCTTGGGCTAAAATCATGAACATTCTGCCCCAGCAGACATCCTGTGAGCCCTGCTCTAAAAATGACTGGTATCCATGACTTTCTGACCATAGACTTTTGAAAAGCCTCTTCTGATAGAGGATGCCAAGTCTGATTTTCCTCTACATCAAGAAAGTACTGTTGTTGAGCTGAGCACAGAGAGAAGAGAAACCTTTTCATGTCCACTCCCCATCCCAGTGGTCTCTCCTGGATCCGGTCTACACCAAGTCCCAAAGCAGACACAAAAAACACCTGGGAATTTCCTTAACCCTACGGGTCATCAGCCGCCTTTCGAACAACAGCCCCAGAACACGGTAAGAGCCCACCACCAGTGTCCAGAGCAGAGTGAGGTGCTGAGGAGCACAGACTCTGGGGTCAGAGTGTCTGGGAGTCAATCAGCTTAGCCTGCTCCCCAGCTCGATGGTCGGGGGCAAGTTCCTCCATCTCTCCGTGCCTTGATTTCCCCATATGCAAAAACAACTAAATTGGTGAGAGGGTTTGGCAGAGCCCATGCAGGCCAGCCCAGACCTGGCCCGGAGGTGAGTCATCGGACATGCAGGCCACTATTCTGCAGCTGAGGAATGGTGGAGGAATCAGGCAGAAAGTGTCCCGTGGAATGACCCTTTCTATCCAGCAGAGAAGGAGGGTCTGTACCTCTACAGTGGGGCTGCTCCCCCGTCCAGGTGCCATTGGGAAGACACACCACGCTGCTGGGCCCAACCAGCCGGAACCCAGGGTTGCAGGTAAAATGGACTTCGTGATCCACTAAGTACTTGCTTCCAAACTTTATGCCATCCGGGGGGGCATTCAGAGCAGGGCAGGACACTGTAAGGACAAAATGAAGGACTATGGTCATTTAACATCTCTCTCAGTTACAAGGCTTCTCGTCTCTGAGTGCTCCTGTGATGAGTGCCTCCTCCAGGCTATGCATGGGTCTGGACATTTTTAATGCTATGACTCATCGAATCCTCAAAGCACTCCTGGGCATGGGTAATACGTGCCCACTAGTGAAAGCTGAGCTGGCGCCTCAGAGACACCGAGGGTTGGGTGCAGGGCCTGGCAGTGTGGGAGGGTCAGAGCGGAGGACCCCCCCGCCACCCAGGTGCGGCTGGCCCACCTACTCCCGCCTCACAGGAGCTCTAGCCCTGCTGGGTTTCTTAGGTCTTCTGAACAGGCCAGGATCAGGCCCATCTCTAGGCCTTGGCTTTTGCTCTTTTCTTGGTCTGGAATATTCTTTCACCAGAACGTCCCCTCTCTGGCTCCTTCTCATTCTTCAGGTCTCAACTCCAATGCTACCACCTCCCAGAGTGTTCTCTGGCCATCTCGCTTAGCTAAAACCTCCCCAGGCACTCTCTACCCCTTGAGCTCACTTTGCTTTCTTCTTAGCATGTGTAATTATTGGAGTTGTCTTCTTGACATATTTGTTTCCATGTTTGTTGTCAGTGTTCTCCCTCCAAAGGCAGCTCAAGAGGGCAGGGACTTCATCTAGCCTCGCATCCCTGATGTGGCCCCAGCACCAGCCCAGTGCCTGGCAGACAGTGAGTACCCAATAAATAATTCTTGAGCAAATGAACAAACGAAAAATTTTGTATTGAGTGGCTTACCATGTGCCAGGTACTAGATTAGGTGCTTGGGACAGTGAACAAAACAGACAAAACTCAGCTCTCAGGAAGCCCCCTTCTAACAGGAATGCCCACCAATAACCAAGATCCCTAAGCAGGTGGCAGAGTGTGCTAAGAAGTGGTAAGTATCGTGCAGAAGATAAGGTAGGGAGTAGTGTTGGGGACGCCAGGGGAGGGGGCCCATTTTCAATGTGGTGGTCAGTGTAAGCCTCATGGGAGCAGAGTTGAAGAAATGAAGGCATAAGCATGCAGCTGTCTGGGAAGGGCAGAGGGAACAAGCTGGTGCAAAGGTCCTGTGGTGGGAGTGTGCCTGGAAGGTCTGAGGAATGTCAAGGGCAGCACAGTGGCTGTAGTAGAGTGGACTAGCTGGAAAGCAGTTGGGGATGAAGTCAGAGAGGCTTCAGGGAGCCAGACAGGGTTTGAGCCGAGGCATGAAGCAGCCGACTTCCATGGTGACAGCACCAGCCGGCCGCAGCCTGAGCGTGAAGTGTCAGGTGTGAGGCAGGAAGGAGAGGAGGCAGAAGCCAGAGATGAAGGTGGTGTGGACAAGGGCAGGAGCTGGGAGCAGAGATGGGCGGCTGAAAAGCCGGCTGTGCCACGAAGGCAGAACGGAGCGGACTTCCCAATGTGTGCTGCGGGCGGCGGGGAGACAGAGAGCCCTCCCACTCCTCCTCTCCCTGCGGCTGGCTGCCTCCCCCGGCCAGCACTTGTTGAATCAAAGTCCCAAAGGTGAGACAGGTTGGATTTGGATTTTGTTTAGTTGGAAATTCACAGCCCCTTCTAAGATGCCTTTTTTTTTTTTTTAAGATTTTATTTATTTATTAGAGAGAGAGAGCACAAGTGAGAGAGAAAGCACGAGCGGGCGGGGGTGGGGAGAGGAGCAGAGGCAGAGGGAGAAGCAGACTCCCCGCGGAGCAGGGAGCCCGACGCGGGGCTCGATCCCAGGACCCTGGGACCATGACCTGAGCCGAAGGCAGCCGCTTAACTGACCGAGCCACCCAGGCGCCCCTGCAATGCTTTAAAGTAAGTTGCAAGTGTCATTTGTGAAAATGCTCTTCCGATTTTAGACAGATGGGAAAGAGGTGTTGCTTCGGCTGTGACAGTTACAGTGAGTGACAGAGAGTCACTCAGCGTCTGCCGTGATGGGAACATCTGCGCACATGGTGATCGGGAGGCGCCCGGGACCTTGACGGGCCACCCCATCCCAGAAGGCAGCAGGCAGGCCGCCGCGGCTCTGCCCACAAATCCCACCCGCGTCCCGCACAGCGGCAGCCTCGGCAGGCGGGCCTGGGCAGCCAGGCACGAGCAGGCCCCTCCGAGTACTCACAGTGCCCTCTGGTTACCGGGGGACCATGGCTATGCCCCTTTCCCTTAGTAAACCTCCAACGCGGCCCCCAGTGGTAATCACTTTGTGAGATGGGAGCGGCTCACATCCGCTCACGTCCCCGTGCGCGCCTGCTCCCAGGCTGCCGGCTCAGTCCCTGCAAATAAACGCCTTTATAGCTCTTTTAAAGTATCAACTACTTTATTGTGCTGAAAGGGATTTCAGATACTCTGGGGGGAAAGGTGTAGGGGTCTCTTTGGGAATGAGAAATCTTTAAAATCTTCCAAAGAGAAATTCTACCTGCTGGAGCAGCTCACAGGTGAATCATACCTGAGTAAATACAACAGCATCGGGCACACAGTAGGTGCTCAGTAAATGTTAGTGGATTTAATAAATGGGCACAGATCAATGAAAAATCAATTTTCATTGATCTGTGCCCATCAAAGTCACTTCTCAGATGGGAGCCACAGGCCTCTGTCCAGTGGAAGGATGTGCACCTTGGCTGGTTCACGATGAGCACAACGTGGTGAGCGTCCAGGGCCACGGGGAAGCTCCCTGCACCGTGTGGAGTGAGGTTACTGTGTAAGGCACGAGCTCAGCAGTGAAGCAATTCTAGAAATTCGGGGAAACGAATGGAATGAGGCTGCCTGCATATAAGCCCTGACGCTGAGGTGTGATGTTCCCCGGAGAGAAAGGCTGGGAAAATAGGAGGGTGATTCTTAGAAGCCAGAAAGAGGAAGGCCAAGAATTCTCCAGGGCTAGAAATTATTCTTCCTGACTCCCAGCAGACGCCCTTAAAAAAAAAAAAATTAAATGATCATTTCCCTACAACCTGCAAGCTTCGGGTTCCTCCAGGGACAGGCCCAGCACCCCCAGCCCCGCCCTGCGGTGGGGACCCTGACAGCTACTTGCCTCCATGTCCAACACATGGGAGAGAAAGATGCACCGTGGCAATACCTAAAAAGAGAATTGGCCACTTTAAAAAGTCTTGTATGGTTCGAGGAAGAAAGACCCTGAATCTGGCACTAAGAGGATCAGCAGTGTAACAGTAACTACCTGTCTATCTATTCTAGCGGACAGAGGCCTCTAACACAGGCAGGGCAGTTTTATGAATGATCTCTTGCAAGTTCTTCTTCGAAGCTCCCAGGGACCATAGGAGCTGTGATCCTAGAAAAGCAGAAAGGCTCTGTGCCGTTGAGCCTCTAGTAGGAAAAAAAAATCACATCTGGTACTTAGTACTGCTAACTCACTTCTCTTGGCCTCAGCTTCCTCATCTGTAGCCCAAAGGAAGCACGCCCAGCCTGCCTCTTGGAGTCTGGCTGCGGTGAACCCCCCTAAAGGCTGGGGCCTCACGGTGTCTTGGAAAGTGAGGACTCTGGCGGGTAGGTCTAGCTCTGCACCTGGGGAGCCAAGGAAAACAGCAGCTGACGACCTGGTGCCGGTGAGACTCGGGATCTGCTACCACACTCTGAAGAGGTATGAAATCCAGTGCCTTCCCCGGGAAACTTCATCTCACACAACAGAGGGCCCTTGATAAATGTGTCTTGAGTGAGTAAATGACATCAGCTATTCCCTAGGTTCATGACTTCGAACAAACGTGACGACGGCCCCCGTGACCCCTGTCGCCCTGAGAGGAGGCCACCTGGAAGCCAGGTGGAAGAAATCCAGTCCCCCATCCAGTGGCCCCACAGTGAAAGCTGTATCTGCGTCCACCAGGAAAATGCCCGGTGTCTGTCAGAGTCCTACCCGCTGGGAGGGCGTCTGGGGGACCCCCTGGAACCTCACCAAACGGAACTGCCCTCAGCAGCAACCCCCCCCACCCCACCACCACAAAGGGGGGACTCACGTCAGAGGACTGACTGTCATGCCTGAGGAGCTGCCGCCAATGTTTCACGGGCTGCAGCAGGCATGCCACACTGGTGCGGGACGTTGGTGGAGGGGAGGCTGTGTGTGTGGGCGGGAACTCTCTGTGCTTTCCTTTCGGTTTTGCTGTGAACTTAAAACTGCTAGAAAAAGATAGTCTATAAAATAAAAACAAAAGGGGGGGGCGCCTGGGTGGCTCAGTCAGTTAAGAGTCTGCCTTCGGCTCAGGTCATGATCCCAGGGTCCTGGGTTCAAGCCCTGCATTGGGCTCCCTGCTCAGTGGGGGGCCTGCCTCTCCCTCTGCCTGCCGCACCTCCCACTTGTGCGCTCCCTCTCTCTGACAAATAAATAGAATCTTAAAAAAAATTAAAAAAAAAAAAGGAACCAACTGGAGTCTGCCTGGGTGGGGACAGAGAAGGGGAAAGCAGCTCACGCTCTTGGAGCCGTGGCTTTCGACAATTCTGTAAGGATGATGTGTGGACAAGAGTTATCGAGCCTAGAATGAACAGGTCTGAGAGCAAGTGGGTGACATTCAGATGTGGGAGAGGAGAACCAGTGGCTGCTTTTTTAACATCCTCACGGCGTGTTCCCTACCAACCGGGGTTCACACATGGGCCCCCGACGGGAGGCAAGGCAGGGAAAGGCCTGGGATCTACCTCCGGACAGGGGGAGGCGTGGGCACGGGGGGATGGGGAGAGAACCCACAGGGGAAGGGCCTGCGTGTCGTTTGGCCCCAGTGGTGCAGACGTGGGGACCCACCTGGGGGGGCGTCTGGGCCCACTCTGTTCACGGAGTTGTGCAGTGCCGCCAGCCGGCTCTTCATGTTGCGGATGCCCTCGGCGAAGCGGGCCTCCTGGCCCTTCAGCACCTGCTGCAGCTGGCGGATGGCCGTGAGGAGCTGCTGTTTGTTGAAACAGTTCTGGGGGGAGAAAGGGTCACCACCGCCACCGCTGTGGCTCCTTCAGTGCCACACGCTCGCTCTCAGCTTCCGGAAGCCACCCAGGCCCCTGGGCCCCCGATGCCTCCGCGGCTCGCTATGCTGCCTCACCAGGCGCCCCAACATCTGGAGTCACCAGACGGAGTCAGGTCACCAGACGGAGGCCCCCCGAGCACACAGATCACAGCACCAGTTCGCTTCCCAACAAAAACAAAGCTCCTGCTTTTCAGAGCCAAGGGCAGAAGTGATGATTCTCAATGATCAGAATCATTGGTTGAACAGTTTGTTCAGCCCAAAGTGCCTTAGAATCAGTCATCTGTTCCTTCAGAGAACTCCCTCATCTTCCACTCTGAATTCATGCTCTGCAACCTAGGCTTGGTGTCCTCATTCTTTCTTTCTCTCTTGAACATTGTTAAAAACAGATGGATGATAAAACATACAAAACAGGCGAAACAGGAAAGCTCCATGCTTCCTGTACTTTTAAAAATGGACCAAGGCAAAGACCAAAGAAACTCGGTAGAGTTAAAGAAGTGTTTGGTGACAGTCAACACCCTGTCCCGATGGTCTCGAGAAAGCCTAAAAACCAGAACGAGGTGGCACCTGCTTATCGTGATAAAGACTGTCTCACTTAAAGCAACACCCAGCATCACACTTAGGGAGAAACACCCCAAGCTTTCCAGTCTCAATTACCTTTAAGAGCCAGGACATGAAAAGGAGTAAAGAAGGGGGTGAACACAGCAGGCCCCTGGCCTTGGGGGGCGCCACCTGGGGGCCGTGCGTGACCTCGGCATAGCCTTGCCTAACCTGACTCCCATCCCCTGCACAGAACAAAGGAGAACATCAAGAAGATAGTAAGGGTTATTATCTCCAGGGACCGCTCAGGGATCATTTTTAATTTTATTTTTTATACGCATTTTTTTTCTACAACGAGTCCTGATTTTTATCTTTTAAAAAAATTTTCTAAAAGGCAGCAGGGCGGCTGGGAGTCCCGTGGTCGCCACAGCCTGGGTGGCTTCCAGGCTCGCCAGTGGGGCCCTGCCGCCGCGGTGGTGACAGAGCCACGGCCGCTCTCCCAGGGAGGCTGCCAGGCCGCGGCACCTTGGGGATTTCACCAAACAGATGACTCACTGGCCTGACTCAGTGCATGCTTTTGACACAGCTGAATCCCCAGTTGCCCCTGGAACTTGTTAATCCATGGGGGCTCCTTGGCCTCCACCCTACCAGGGCCTGGCTGGGCCTAGCCCCAAATGCAACTGCTGGGAAGAGAATTTTTATTTGTTTTCCTTCTTTCTCCCCCACTGTGGTCCTTCCCACGCGGGTTCTGGGGCGCCTGGGCAGTGACCTCCTGCCATCAATCCCCTACCTGCCCAGCACTGCAAGGCCATCCTACCCAGACCTGATTTCCCACACCCACATCCCCTCCCTTAAAGAAAAAGAAGAGGCTGCTTATACACTTGATCTCAGCCAAAAGGCCGAGACGTGATGAGAAGCCGTTTTTTGTTTTTTGTTTTTTTAAGATCTTATTTATTTATTCATGAGAGACAGAGAGAGAGAGAGAAGCAGCTCCCAAGGAGCAGGGAGCCCGATGTGGGACTCGATCCCAGGACCCTGGGATCATGACCCGAGCCGAAGGCAGACGCCCAACCATCTGAGCCACCCAGGCACCCAAGAAGCCGTTTTTATAGATGGTTTCGTGACTTGTGTGTAATTCACATTTGTGAAGTTCCTCACAGTTTACAAAGCTAAGTCTGCTTCAAAGACTACTACTGGCTGGGAGCAACCCTGTGAAGGCCTGGGACTGTCTCTCTTTCATAAATGAAAATATATAGGCTGAAAGTCAAGCGACACTCCCTACCTCACGCAGCTTAGGAGGGATAGAGCCAAAATGGGAACCCTGGTGACTTCCGTCCCAGAGCCACCACCCCCAGCCCCCAAACCCCTCGGCTGTATGTGCCCCAGTAGACTGTCTTCGGCCCTGTCTCATCAGTTCTTCACACATCCCTGTGGGGTGAGTGGTCATACTGATTGATTGGCACTAGCAATTGATAAGTCTGTGACCCAAGCAGAATGTCCCACAGGAGCGGACTTCTGACTCCTGTGCAAGGTCAGGTGAGGGAGTGTGGCAGTGGGGGCAGGAAGTGAGGAGGGAGTGGAGGAAACCTCCCCGGCCACACTGAGCCAGGTGAGTAGCTGCCTCCCTTTCATACAAGGTGGCCAGGGCCCCAACAGCTGGGAGAGGGTTCTCCGGGCCACAGCTGCCCTGGGGGACACGAAGGGCCACATTTTGAAGTGGGGGAGAGACCAGTGGCAAGGCCTCTGCCAAGAGCCTGGGGGTGGCGCCATGGGGCTCTGGTAAGCAGAGAAAGAAGGTCAGACTATGTGGAGGAGAAGAGGCCTAGGTTCCACTCGGCCACTGCGCAGCCAAGTGTGTCCAGTTGGCTGCTGGGCCCAGGCACAGCTGTCCTCTGCTCCTGGTGACACTTTCCGGAGCCCTTCCCAGCACCCGCACAGTGGACAATGGGCACCAACCTCTCAAGGCTCACTACGGGTGAGGTGTGCTCACCTGGCCAGTCACAACGGAAACACCTTCAAGACCCAGCACAGCAGCATGGAGAGGGCGATGGTAGGGTTTCAGGCGGACTTACTGAGGGAAGGTCTTGAAACCCTGGCCCATCCCTGCCTCCGATCTCACTGGGGTGAGGCTAACAGAACAATGTAAGTGTGAGAAAGAACTTTGTGAGCCCAGAAATAAACCCATGCACTTATGCTCAATTAATTTAGGACAAAGGAACTAAGAACACACATGGGGGCAAGAACAGTCTCTTCAATAAATGGTGTTGGGAACACGGGACAGCCACATGCAAAAGGATGAAACTAGACCTCTATCTTACACCATACACAAAAACTAACTCAAACTGGGCTAAAGACTTGAACATAAGACTCGAAACCATAAAACTCCTAGAGGACAACATCAGGGATAAGCTTCCTGACATCATTCTTGGCAACGATTTTTTGGATCCAACACCAAAAGCAAAGGCAACAAAAGCAAAAATAAACAAGTGGGACTACATCAAATTAAAAAAGCATCAGCACAGCAAAGAAAACCATCAACAAGATGAAAAAGCAACCTACAGAATGGGAGAAAATATTTGCAAATCATATGTCTCATAAGGGGATAATATCCAAAATACGTAAAGAACTCATTTAATTCGATAGCAAAAAAAAAAAAAATCTAATTAAAAAATGGGCAGAGGAACTGAATAGACATTTTTCCAAAGAAGACATCTAGACAGTCAACAGGTACGTGAAAAGATGCACAGCATCACTTATCATCAGGGAAATGCAAATCAAAAGAACATTGAGATGCCACCTTACACCAGTTAGAATGGCAAAAATTGACAAGGCAAGAAACAACAAATGTTGGAGAGGTTGTGGAGCAAGGGGAACCCTCTTACACTGTTGGGGGGAATGCAAATTGGTGCAGCCACTATGGAAAACAGTGTGGAGGTTCCTCAAAAAATTAAAAATGGAACTACCATATCATCCAGCAATTCTACTTCTGGGGCTATATTCACAGGAAACAAAATCACTCTCTTGGAAAGACATCTGCACCCCCATGTTTGTTGTAGCATTATTCACACTAGCCAAGATATGGAAGCAATCTCAGTGCCCACCAATGGATGAAAGGATAAAAAAAAGTGTTATATATAAACGATGGAATATTACTCAGCCATAGAAAAAGAAGAAAATCTTGCTATTTGAGACATGATTAGAGCTTGAGGGCATTATGCTAAGTGAAATAAGTCAGACAAAGACAAATACTATATGATCTCACTTATATGTGAAATCTAAAATACCAAACAGATAACAGCAAACAGATTGGCGGCTGCCTGAGTCAAGGGGTGGGGGGTGGGGTGGAGGAAAGGCATGAAGGGGGTCAAAAGGTACCAACTTCCAGTTATAAGATAAGTAAGTTCTGGGGATGTGCTGTACGGCATGTGTCTATATTGTATATTTGACAGTTGCTGAGAGAGTAGATCTTAAAAAGCTCTCATTACAAGAGAAAAACAACGCAACTATGTAAGGTGATGCTAACTAAACGTACTGTGGTGATTATTTCACAATATAGACACATATATCAATATATGTCAATATATCATATTGATATAGACGTCAATTATATCTCAATAAAACTGGAAAAAAATAAAAGAAATAAAATTCCCAAGATTAAAGAAAGAAAGAAAGAAAGAAAGAAAGAAAGAAAGAAAGAAAGAAA